GTGTAACCTTCCTCCATGCATTTCTTTCCAACAGACAGTACTGAAGGAGACTCATCTAAGACGAATGGGGAGTAGGTAGAGTCAAATTCGTCGAAATGAATGTCGGCGACTCCCTTTGTGGATGTCACTCCATTTGCGGTATAGAATGACATTGATTGGTCGCTTTCTCTCACTTCCAGACCTAATTTCTTGGCTCTGCCTTTCGATATCAAATCATACCCACATCCTGTGTCCATGATGAACTTTGTTCTTGACCCTTTGGCTGGAATAGACAATGTCTTTGTGTCTGCATGATCTTTCTTTCCCTCGCATACATGAGGAATGACTTTATGATGGAAAACTAGGCCGTCATCTTCGTCAAAAGACATAGTGACCGCTAGGTCACCCTTTGGTCCAACTGGTATTCGGACCCTCTTGATCTCAGTGTAGGGGACCATCAATATGCCTCTTGCCTCTGCGACCTTTTCTTCAAATCTGATTTGTTCTTTCCTCGTGTAGCAGGTGAGCTCTTTCTCATCGTATCGTTTGATGTCTGGACGTAGAGGTTTCCTTTCTACTACCTTCCATTTGTTCCTGACTGAGTAGATCGCTTCGTTCAACATGATCTCACAAGTCTCTTCATCAAAGGATACTTTTGCACCTCCTTCTCTTGCCTTGGCGGATGCAGCAATCCCTTCATCTTCGGATTCGTCCATGAAGAGTTCACCGTCAATGGCTGGGGCTCCAGGCTTCGCCTTAGGCTTCGGTTTGGGTTTTGCCTTGGGCTTTGGCCTATCGTCTCCTGAGTCAGCTGGTGCAGATATCCCTTTCTTAGGAGAGGCTTTTGGGTCATGGTAGAACTTGCAATCCTTCCCTTTGTCACAAGTTCCTCGAATCCACATCCAACATACTGGCTTGTCATTCTTTCCGACAGAAGATCCTCTGGATGGTGATCTGGGTTTCTTGTGACTGAATGGGCAATCTTTCCCCATAGTGCAGTTACCTTTCACGAAGTATTTGCATGGTATCTTCTTCTTGTCTGTACTCGGACTTCGGCTGCGATCCTTTCCATCACCTTTACCTTTCCCCTTTCCCTTTTTGTTCTTGTCTTCAGGATGCTTCTTGGGATTGGGTTTCGGCTTCACTGCAGCAGCGTCTTCTGAGACAACCTGTTCTTGTTGCCCTTTTGGTTTCTTCTTCGGATCAGCTGGTGCAGCTTTCAGTTTTGGAGCAGGTCCGCCTGGTTTGAGATTCTGAAAGATATTGGCCACATTCTTCACTGCCTTCTCCTTTTCCAGGATCATCCTGTCTTCAGTTTGCCGTTCGATGTGCCTTCTGATCATATCACGTAGATGTTTGTATGTCTTCTTGGCATCATCGTCGTTCATGCTGTTGTAGGCGCTGATGTCGTATGCCATGAGGTTTGAGTTCCTGATCTTTCTCCATAGGAGATCCCGAAGAGTTTCGTCGCTCGGGACGTCAACGGGCTTCATTCCTGCCAGAATCTCATCCCAAGTGTGGAAGAACAACGATAAGTTCTTGTCTCCTTGATATTCTAGTTGGTAGAGGTGCATTGAAGTATATAAGACTTCCACATTTGATGTTGTCTTGAAATTCATAAGGATCAGGGCTAGGACCTCTCTTCCCTTTATGAGGCTTGATGTTCTCCCTTTTGCATTGATCCTCGTCCTCAACTTCATAGCTACACCTGAACCATCATCTTTCGCATCCATGACGACCTTGGTAAGAGCTAGGCCGAGTTTGGCATCGATTGAATGGAATCTTTGGTCTCCTGAGTCGACAAACTTGTCCGGATCAGGATCGTCCATGGCTTCTTTGATCCAGTCGATCCAGGGCTCTTGATCTGAATCATTGGCCGCAATGATGATCGATTGAATGAGATTTGCCTTCCATAGTCCAAGATCATTGATCCTGGGCCATGACGGAACGTTTATCTTTGATTCTTCCTTCCTCGATACTTTCATGATTGTAGAGGTTGCCGGTGCAAGATGAGATGAAGAGGATGCTTCTGCTTCTGAAATCTTGTCCCTCAATGATTTGTTCGCCTCGGATAGCTCAATTGATTTCTCCCTTTCCTCGGCGTACTCATTGTGGGTTTCGGCATACCATTCATACATCTCATCTCGGCTCTCTGTCATTTCATTGTACCCGTCCTTGTAGTGCTTCGCCTCCTCTTTTGCGTTCCGAATCTCATCTTCCTCGGACGCGTGGGTTGGTAACCCGCGGTCTCTGGAACTAGGACGCTTGCTGTACCGAGAGACTATGGGTGCCATTCGTGCTTCTGCTTTTAATTTCGCATTTTCCATAATGACATTCTTTGTCTCCTTCTGGCTTTCCAATAGTGCATTCTCCAGTTCTCTGATCTTCTGTTGAATTTCAGCACCATCATCGCCGAACATAGGAGCTCTCATCATATTCTCTCTTTTCAGCTGTGCGTTGGCTTCGGATAGAGCGAGGTTGGCGTCTTTCAACTGTTGTCGTTCACGGATGGAACCTTCTAGGACTTCGTTGTTGAATATTTCTCCTTTTGCGATAACCTCCTTTGCGACGTTTGCTTCGTATTCATGGTGGCTCGCCTTCATTTCTGCCATTTCTTTAGCAGAGACTTCAGTCTGGCATACAAATATCTCCATCCTCATGCCCACTTCCATCTCTTCTATCTCCGCTCTCGCGTTGAGTTCAGCTCCACGTGCCATAGCTAGTTGACCTCGTAGATGATCAATAACCATAGCTTCCTGATTGCTCTGATCTTGAGATGAGTGAACACTGTGTTGAAGACGTCTTTCCCTGACCTCACTGTTCCATTGTTCTTCTCTCTGGTGTTGGATCACCTCGTGCATGTTGACATTCTCATCCTGTAGCGCAATCATTCTAGCTTGTATCTGGTCAGCTATTCCGACGAAGGCTGTGTTCTCATCCTGAATGGCTTTTGATCTTCTATTGATCGCCAATGAAGATTCATTCTGTTCTTGGATGTGTCCAATTGCTGCTTGAAGCTCTTGGGACATTCTGTCCTTCGTTGCTTTCACAGATTCAAGCTCTGAATGTTCTTGATGAGTTTCTTGTGCAAGCTCTTGATATCTCATGTAGATATGTTCAGCTGTCGATTCCGCCAAGCGTAGCTTGTGTTCGAGCTCTTCAATTCTTATTGTCGCTCCTTCATCTTCCTGTGTCATCTCTTGTAGATGTTCCTGCATCTTCCTGTTGTAGTCAGACATTTGCCTGAACTCCACTTCAGCCTCGTGGTGTAGTCGTGAGTATCCGGCTTGGATGCATTCATATTCTTCATGAAGAAAATTGTATGCGTTTCTCGCCGATCTCAATTCTTCACCCAGCTGAATCTCTCTTCTTTGCTCTTTTGTTCCTCTATCATCGTCACGTCTCTTCTCTATACTCCTTCTTGGGGATCTCGCGGTAGACGTTATAGGCGATGTAGATCTTGTTGTAGCTCTCATCGATCTTCTTGGTCCTACGGGTGCAAGATCGGTCAGATTCCGAGCCGGTGGCACGGATCTTTCCGAGATTTGTGATCCAGTAGGCATAGTGATAACGTCAGCATTTGCTGATGAATCAGTACCCATTGTAGAGTCTGGTGACGAAATGGTGTTGGGACCACCAGGAGCAGCGAATGAATAGGGTTCGCTTCCATTTCCTCCTGAGCTTGACATTGCAGGTTTCTGTAATGACTAGTCTTGTTCTTGGTCTCGTGTAGCTCGTACGGCTATAAAGAGCGCGTACGGCTGATAACCTGCGAGTGGATCTTAATCAGCGAAGTTTGAAGCTATCACTGACGATCCATAAGCGGCGTAGCGTCGGAACGGAAACCGCACCTTTTCTAGTCGCTTGATCCTTGAGCCAAAGTACATATGGTACATATATATGTACAAGTTGCACTGTACGTGTCGCTGCACTTCCATTCGCATAAGTAGTAGTAAGTAGTAGTAGTAAGTAGTAGTTAGTAGTAGTTAGTAGTAGTTAGTAGTAGGTAGTAGTAGGTAGTAGTAGGTAGTAGTAGGTAGTAGGTAGTAGTAGGTAGTAGGTAGTAGGTAGTAGGTAGTAGGTAGTAGGTAGTAGGTAGTAGGTAGTAGGTAGTAGTAGTCGTAGTGGTCGTAGTAGTGGTAGTAGTGGTAGTAGTGGTAGTAGTTGGTAGTAAATCGTAGTAGTTCGTAGTAGTTAGTAGTAGTTAGTAGTAGTTAGTAGTAGTTAGTAGTAGTTAGTAGTAGTAAGTAGTAGGAAGTAGTAGGAAGTAGTAGCAAGTAGTAGGAAGTAGTAGCAAGTAGTAGGAAGTAGTAGCAAGTAGTAGCAAGTAGTAGTAAGTAGTAGTAAGTAGTAAGTAGTAAGTAGTACGCAGTACGCAGTAAGCAGTAAGCAGTAAGCAGTAAGGAGTAGTAGTAGTAGTAGTAGTAGTAGTAATAGTAGTAGTAGTAGTAGTAGTAGTAGGAAGCCCTACTTGTGCTCTCGCTCCTCAAGACGGTGCCTTTTAGTTGCAGTTTTGGCCGGATAGGTGGTCAGACTGGTGACGATGTGTACTGTGTGTGTTATGGATGTAGGTGGCGAAATCTGCACTTCGAGGTGACTTTGAAACTCGAAGATAGCAAAACACTTGGAGGACATTACCATCATGTCCGAAAACACATCACCTTCCACGATCTCTCGTAGCAAGAAGCTACTACTAGCAAGGGCATCGCTACTAGGAGCAAGGACACTAGGGGCTCCTGGTATTACCACTAGGAGCAAGAAGCTACTACTAGTAGCAAGAACACGTCAAATCTCCACCTGCCTCCAAACAGTGGCGCAGCAACACATTTTGTCCCCATGGATGTGGACCCTGTGCTTTTGGACTACCCACAGCCCCCAAAGTGGCGCATTCATCATGTTGGAGGCCATCGCTAGCAGGTTGGAGGCCAACGCTAGTATGTTGGAGGCCATCGCTAGTAGGTTGGAGGCCGTCGCATTCATCATGTTCCATTTCACCCACTCAGCTGAACTTGGGACCCTGCTAGCAAGCAAAAGGGGTTACTTCCGCCAGGTCCAGGTCCAGCTGTGGTGCCTCAGCCACAATCGACAAACCGACCAAGTCCAGCAACCAACCGACTTGCCAAGTGACGTAGCTGCGTGAGCAAAGCCCAGAAATCCTGAAACACACATAGGGTGCAAGAGACTTTGAAGACTCATTCTTCTGCTAGGCCTGAGGGGTGCATCTTCAGCAATCATGGGCTCAAATTCAGTGAACACCGGATCTCACAGCTACACATGAACCAAACCAGTCTCCAAATTTCATGAAGCGAACACCTCATGAAAAACACATGAATCCAAGCACATCATCTAGTATCAAGTGCATCGCTATTAGTAACAAGTGCATTACTACTAGTAGCAAATAGCTACGCAGCTACTAGCTACTAGTAGCCTTCACCTAGTAGCTTCATGTAGCTTCTAGCTACTAATGCCGCAATGCCCTTGTTACGTCGCGCTCAACTTCTCGCTCCTCCGGCCGCTTTAGCCGACCACGACTCCGCAGCATTGACCAGGTCTCGAGACTCTGTGAGTCGAGGATCGACCACTCGATCGTCCTCAACGGCGAAAGGAGTTCCGACTTAGGAGCGATCGGACGCTACGAACGGGGCTCCTGGCATTACTAGCAGCAAGAAGCTGGTTGGAGGCCATTGCTTAAGTAGACTCTTGATTAGTAAAGGGTGAGTAGCTACTAAGCTTGCAAACGCATCACAGGGATGCACAAAGCATGTTTGCCATGAACCAACTCATCCAACTTTGGCCCGGGCAATTTCACATCGCATTGGCATTCGCCTCAGAAGTGAAACGCGCGAATCATGACCCTGAAGAAGGGCTGTAGCAAACCCAAGCATTGCAAGTCCTTGTCAAGTACCCCTGATAGGTCCTACAAGAATGTCTTTTGTAGTCAGTCACCATTGTCTTGTGCCACGTCCGGAGTTCTCACTGTGCTCGCCTTGGAAAGATGTCTTGCAAAGGGTGCAGGGCAGCAGGAGCTCCACATCGTCCTGTGCGCGTGCGCGCGCCCAACTCTTCCACGTCTACTTTAGTGTAAGCATTAGCCTGACACCTTGACACTTCATGTCAAGGGCACTTAAAGAAATTCAATAACAATACAGTAAGAAGCTAAGAGCGAAGGCCTCCAACCTAGAAGCGATGGATGGCCTCCAACCTAATTAATTACTAGCGATGGCCTCCAACATACTAGCGATGGCCTCCACCCTACTAGCGATGGCCTCCAACCTAACAGCGATGGCCCCCAGCGTACTAGCGATGGCCTCCAATAATAGTAATAGAAAAAAAGAACATTTACAAATCATCAAAGCTTTCGTAAGCTTCTGCAACTGCAGTCTCGCGGGAAGAGGTTTTTGGCTTCTGCAGTCTCCTAGGTACAGCAGTAGCAACAAAGGTGCCCAAACTCGATGTGATCGGGGGGGTCAGCAGCAGCAGTTGTGCTGCTGTGATTCTGCTGGTCTGCTGCTGCGGAAATGAAGTTTACGCCCTAGTGATGGTCCTTTAATCAAAGAACTAAGTGAACACATGTGACAACTTGGATCTTCTGCGCATGCCACCAAAAAGTCAGCCCAAGTCCGAAGAGACGTGCACGGCATTACAACGAGAGACGTGCGAGAGACATGCGAGAGACGTGCGCGACGCGCTTCCAGCGTTTTGTGATGTTTTGTGCGAGGCGTCCGCGAAAAACACAAGTCTCGTTGACTGTAAGAACCCTTTCAGTGTCACCACTGCTTGTGAAATCACTTTAAAAGAGTGCTCTCCAAAATCTCAAAGCCTCTGGTACATCACAGCATTTGTCCCGGCCTCGCTGTGTCCTATCTGGCACTCCTGGACTGGCTGAACTTGGCAGCGTCTGAGAAGCATTGAGATTTGTTGAGATTCAGATCAAAACATGCTGAGCAGCTGTAGTGACTAGGTGAGCCCTGTACGTAAGGAAAGTCTATTGTTTTGCAAAGCCCGCCGGCAAGATTTAAGGTCTCCCAAGCATTAACCTGCTCCTGCTTTTCCTTCTTTCTTCCCTTCCCATCCCTTCCTGTATTCACTGCGTCCTGATCTGAATGGTAAGGGATGGTCCTTCAACCTAATAGCAATGGCCTCCAACTTAGAGGCGATGGCCTCCAACCCACTTGCCTCCTGCTCTTTCTTTAAGCAAAAGAACACTGTCTTCTCATGTGTTTTCTATGTTTTCTCCCTTTGGTCCTTCGCATGGAATGGTCCAGCTCTTTGTCGAGTGGACAACGCGCTCGGCAATGCCAGAAAGGCCCTCATGGACGGTGACAACATCAGCGAATTGTCCAAACACACTTCTTAAAACATTCTTCTTTTGTTCTTTCCTTCTGTCCTATTTGCAGTAGCAAGGCTCCTAAGGCCTTTTCAATGTGTTTTGCTGCAAGTCGCAACTGCACGCATCCGCAATCCACGACGCATCAAACCGGTATCAAAATGTCATCGATGTTTTTTCCATGTCCGTTACTAGTAGCTTCTTGCTCCTAGTAGTAATGCCCTTGTCGGTAGCGAGGTGCCCGACCGCCTTGAGTTGGAAAAGGGTGATGTGCTCACAGCCTGCCCGCTCCGCGAAGGCGCTGAGACGGTGCAGGAGATGCTTCAGACGGTGAAAAAACCGTTTACTAGTAGCGATGGCCTCCAACCTAGTAGCTTCTTGCTAGTAAGGCGCCTTGTTACTGGCAGCGTCCTTGCTACTAGCAGTACTGCCAGGAGCTACTAGTAGCTTCTGGTTACTAGGGAGCAAAGACTGTGGGCTCAAACAGAATCGTCACGTTCATGCCGTTTGGGTTTGCCAAATACACAACTGGAAGAAATCCTGCAGGTTTCATGAAAGGTGGGAGAGGATGTCTCCTTCTTTTCAATAAAGTAGGCCCGGTGTGTGACAATGTCCAGCCTCTAAAATTGGTAACTTCTCCATGTCGCCAACGTTGCCATTCGACAAGCATGGGGCAAAAAGTAAAACCAAGGAGTAGAGCAAGCAAACCTTGGGTCCATCAGCCAGGCAAAACAGCAAAGTCCCTGAAGATAAAGATGGCCGAATGCTTTCATTTGGCAGTTTGCAAGACCAAAGACCACCAAACAGTAGCACAATCATTCTGCCAAAGCAGTATTGCTTAGGCTTGCCCCCAGTAGTTGTTGGGCAAAAGAATCAAAGCGCAGCCTAGGTGACACGGAGTGCTGGGTCGCAACAGCTGCTTGCATCTTTCTTCAGCTGCGCCAAGAAGATCTGCACATGATGATAGCGGACGGACTCCTGGCACAAAAAATGATCGCTTCTAGGCCATCGCTTCTAGGTTGGAGGCCGTCGCTATTAGGTTGGAGGCCATCGCTATTAGGTTTGTGTTTGCTCACCTCACGGTGGGCTCAGTTTCCGAAGGAAGATGCGCCACACGTGCCGTACGCTGTGTGCGTCTCCTCTTGAGCACTTGCAGGTGATTGTATGCCTCAGACTGCCGCGGCGCAGGCGCATCCAAGCAAATTCATTCAGAGGACATTACTTTTACATACAAGAGTACAGTCAGAGCGTTGACCAGGAGAGATTCGTATCATCTCACATATCATATCTTCATCTTTTGTTTCTTGAGTCACTTCTTACTTCGAAGACATGTTACTTTTTGCCCTTCTCGGCCAAAGCACTCCGGAGGTATCGCCCAACAGCCGCCCAAATTGCTACGCGACAGGCACCTCAAAGCAATGACAAGGACAAATACTTCGAATCATGAACGTTGTTCATCCCGATTTGCTGCAAGAATTGCCTTGTTTCTGAAATACGAACAAAGTCTGCGAGAAACATGAAGAAAACACGAACGCGCTCATTCTCGGCCTGTTGCTGATGACTCCAGGAGCTTCTGCAAAAAGCGGACCTGGCGTTGACCGACCGTTGACCTCGAAAGTGACATGTCACACAGTGGTAGCCGCCGTAGAACATCATCCTCTTACTCTTATATCTCTTGCTTGCTGATTATGCTGGTCTGGGGCGGACTGACCGGCATAAGCACTTTCAAGCCTAAGGAATTCTCCAAAGAGCTAATAGGTTGGAGGCCATCGCAATTATCCTCTTCCAAGTTTCTTCCCCCACATCGCCCACATCTCACCACATCTTCCGTCCTCCATGAACGTGTCCAAGCAAAGCAAAAGCTGCTGCCATGATCGAGCTTTGCCTGCCGTCGCCCGTCGCAAGTCTGAACTGTTTTGTTAGGAACTACTAGGAACAGATTTGTTCCAAAAGACCCCAATAACTTTGTGAGGCACATTTACGCTCAATGCTTGCCATGGCTGGCTACAAGTTCTGTGATTGAAAACGCTTGAGCTTCAGCAGCACCAGCCAGCTGAGGCAGAGTCGCAAAGAAACCCAAAAGTAGCTTCGCCTCTCTTTGCTTCATCCAGCACTTGCATTGTGAGCTTTTCTCCTTCCACCTTGGTGAAAGCAGATCTTCTGCACAGTTCTATGCTCCTAGTAGCAATGCCCTTTGCTCCTACAAGCGACGCCAGGAGCCCCTAGTAGCAGCGTTCTTGCTTCTAGTAGCGATGCGAGGAGCCCCTAGTAGCGTCCTTGTTACTATAGTAGCTATCATGTTTTCTCAAGTTTCTCAAACTTCCCGCTTTTGCTCAACCCCCTTTCTGAGTTCATCTTAATCATGAAGTATTCCACGAATCACCCCGCCTTGGGGAATGGAATAATGGAATGTCCCTTAAACTAATTACTATAGGAACAAGGACGTGTTTGGAAACATCGAGCCATTCTGACGTCACTTTGGATTCAAGCAGGGCCGCCCATTCGCCATCGACTTCGGACCACGCCATCGACTTCCATCGACGACAGACCTGCCTGCAGAATGGCGTCACAAGCGCCACTGAGCTTGATCGCCGACAAGACGGCCTCACCAGAGATGAGTTGTGAGCCGTCTGGTCGGAGGGATCAAAGCAAGGTTTAAGTCCAAGGCCCCAAAAAGCATCGTTTTTAGAGCCGAGGGGTAGGCTATGCGGTAGCAACTTTACAAGCAACTGGATCGTAATGATTTGGGTTTCTAGCAAACTTTGTAGATAAGTTTGCTATTAGGTTGGAGGCCAACAGAAAGAAAAGGAAGAAAGGTCTAATATAGTTTCAGGTCTCCGGTCTTCACGAATCTAGCGACTAAATAGTGGCTTTGTTGTGAGTAGTCTACTATAGTGACTATTAGCAAGAAACTACTTATAGTAGCTATTTGCTACTAGTAGTAATTTAATGCTTTTGTTACTAGTAGCAATGCACAGGGTTACTAGTACCTTGTACTAGTGACTGGTGAAATCGACGGCGACTGCGACCGCCTCCAATGAGGGTCGCCGATCGGCCAAGGCGGCGCGTGCTGCTGGCAGTTCGCCTCGCACAACTCGATGGAGGCGTTGGGCCTTGGTCACTTGTCTTGTTTTTTTGCCCGCTCTCTCCCCTTCCACACTTAATCAAGTAAGCTAGTACCTTACTTAAGCTACTGGAATAGCATGGACGCAGGATAGCTCTTCAAGGAAGCCCCCCTTGGAGGGCGGGGAGGAGCTTCCTTGAAGAGGCCGGTGAACCGCCGCCGATCGGGATTGGTGAAAAGGAGACAAGGGATCGGCGGAGAAATGAGAGAAAACAGCTGTTGGCGCACACAAGAGCCGTTGATGGTTTGTGGCACAAGAAGCTAGGAACAAGAAGCTACTAAGGCTCCTGGCCTTACTACTAGGAGCAAGGACGCTACTAGGGGCTCCTGGCATCGCTATAGTGAAGAGTTGATCCAGGATCCAAAAGGTCGTTTCAAAAAGAACGAGCCGTGTCGAACGGAAAACAAGCAGCTTGGCACTTCGACCATTTTAGACAGACTTGCAATTCTCAAGGGCCGAATCCCACATGTCCGTCATCCAGTCTGGAATGGTCAAGTTCGCAAAAAAGCTCCAATTCTCCAAAGCAGAATCCCAAATGCGCGTTGCCAAATCTGGGATGGTCAAGTGAGAGCTGCACTTCCTCAAGGCACCTTCCTCCAGGCCCCTCAGAATATTCTGGCCAATGTTCAAGTTCCTCAAAGATGTGCAATCCCAAAAATCACCAAAGCCAAAGTGATGGGTCACCGAGTTCGGGATGGTCAGGTTGGCCAAGGAACTGCAATTTTCAGAGGCAAAAACCCAAAAGCGCGTCGCCAAATCTGAAAAGGTCAAGTCAGAGCTGCAATTCCTGAAGGCACCTTCCTCAGTCCCTTGACGAATGCCGCAAATGTTTTGCCCAATATAGGTTCCATTTGGGATGTTCAAGTTCCTCAACAATGCACAACCCTCAAAAGCACCCAAAACAATGCAATCACCGTGGGTCGCTGAGTTCCCGGTCAAGTTCACCAAAGAGTCGCAACCGGCAAATGCAAAAGACCCAACGTAGGCCACTGAGTTCGAGATGGTCAGGTTGGCCAAGGAACTGCAATTTTCAAACGCGCTAGACTCTATATGGGTCACTGAGTTCGGGATGGTTAACTTCACCAAAGAGCTGCAATTCCGAAAAGCACCATATCCAATCTTGGTCACTGAGTTCGGGATGGTTAACTTCACCAAAGAGCTGCAATTCCGAAAAGCACCATATCCAATCTTGGTCACTGAGTTCGGGATGGTCAGGTTCACCAGGGAGCTGCAACTCCGAAAAGACCAATTTCTAATGCGCATCACTGAGTTTGGGAGCCTCAAGCTCGCCAAAGAACTGCAAGTGTCAAAGGCAGAATCCCCAATGTCGATCACTGAGTCTGGGATGGTCAAGTTCACTAAAGAGGTGCAATTCTCGAAGGCACGCTTGCCAATATGGATCACTGAGTCCGGGATGGTCAAGTTCACCAAGGAGCTGCAATCCTGGAATGCGCGCTCCCTAATATCAGTCACTGAGTTTGGGAGATCCAGTGTCCTCAAAGAGGTGCAAAGGCCAAAAGCACCACGTTCAATGTACGTTACTGATGCTGGGATTGTCACATGCACCAAAGAGCGGCATTGGAAAAAGGCAAAATCCCCGATGTCGGTCACCGACTTCGGGATGCTCAAGCTCACCAAAGAGCTGCAGTCGGCGAAGGCACGATTGCCAATGATGGTGACAGTGTCTGGGATGGCAACTTTGGCCAAGATTTTGCAGTTTTGAAAGGCCCTCTGTGCAAGTCGAGTATCGTGGCTGGGGATTTCAACGCTCAGTAGAAGTGTCTGATCAATATCATGGAAATTTTCCGCCACAGCAATCTCATGCTTGTTCGAGCAGATCAGGCTGTTAGGTTTGAAAACAATGTTGACAACCAAATCTTCCAGCTGCGCATCCAACACTTTCGTGTCATTGCTCATCAGCCTGTCTCCAACAACAATCTCCACGCCAGTAGTTTTGCGAGCAACCTCGTCCAGCTGAGCTTCTTTGATCTGCTGTTTCAGCTCTCCACCTGTTGTCTCTGTTCCAAATTCCAGAGAAACCATTTCGCCATTCAAACCCTTCAGTGCTGCAAGTCTCATTGCCATGTGAGCGACGGACAAAATTATTGGTTGACTTATTTAGTCACGGCATGACCCTAAACCTATGTTGAAGGCTTGGCTTCTGTGGAAAACGATATATCCGATATGGTCCCCACCAAAAACGATAATATTGTTAAGATGTAGTGGGTACAAAGACGTTTGTGGTTACAATATGTTGTTGCATTTTCATGTTTATTTGAGCTAAACAGATGGGCACAACTTTTAATCAATGATAATCCCTTGAAGACGCGCTCGCACGATTCATTTGGTGCCTAGATTCATTTTCAGCTGGAGTAGTGTTGGTACTAAGAATTGCAAGCAAGGAAGAAGAAAGAGTACATGTTGAGTGCCTGGGTCACCTCTGAACAAGGAGTGGCATCAATTGAGCAGTGATAATTAGTTGGTTTCTAGCTTTGTTTACATCGGGGCAAACCACCTACAGTACTTGACATCTGAGTACCCCGCCACCTCAGGGAGAGAGCCGCAAGCCAAATGCGGCAAGAAGGGCAGCAGAAATCGACCACGACGGGGGTCCTTGGGAAGATTGTTCGAAAAGAACAAAAGAAATGAAAGAAATACAATGATATAGATAGATAGATAGATAGATAGATAGATAGACAGACAGACAGATAGATAGATACATAGATAGATAGAGATAGAGATAGAGATAGAGATAGAGATAGAGATATACTATATTGTTTGTACTGTTTGGTATATTATGTGTCAATGATTTTTCGAAGTGCCACCAACAGCTGTGATTCTGGGGATGTCTGGCGATCTCTTCTCGGGTTGCGTGGGTCCTGCTTCGGGGGGTCAAGGGCGACGTGCACAAAAACTATGCCTAGCTAGGAACAAGTGCATCGCTTCTAGTAACAAGTGCCTTACTAGTAGTAACAAGAAGCTAGTAGAAACAAGAATTAGCAATTATAATTAAGTTTAATTGGAATTGAATCACATTAAACTATAAGCAATGGCCTCCAACCTACGAGCGATGGCCTCCATCCTAAGCAA